TCATGTAGTGTTATTGGTGCAAGATTGGTTTTTTGATCCCAATTTATTTAAGTAAATTAATTATTTAGCTAAAATTATAATTATTGTTGTTTATTATAATAAATATTTTATTATTTCTAGAATATTGCAAACAGCAGAAATGTTAAAACCGGCGATGCCTACTTCACATCGCAATGAGGAACTAATAGAATATTTTCCTCACATTGTATTTGTTCAAAACAAATCATTTTATTCTGATTTTAGTATTGAACATATTAAAATAGTGCAAGTATGAGTTAAAATTTTTAAAATCTTTTAAAATGTGTTTGAACAAGACATTTTTTCAGCATGTTTATACTCAATTATTTGTTCGATCTCGTTTACACATCCAAAGTGGAATTAGTATTGCAAATGGCAATGTTATAAGTGAATTAAACCAATTTAACTGTGGTGAACCGATTAATTTATTTGTATTGGCCAACAGTGAAAAGGATAATAATGCTGGTATGTTTTATATTCTATAATAATTAATTTTTATATATATATATATATATATATATATTATTTTTTATTATAAAATACATTTACAATCTGTATACACATAATAATACAATGAGTAAATGTATATATATCTATATTTTACTTATTGTAACTCAAGTTTTTGATATATGAAGTAAATTTAGTCATAGTACAAAATACTTAGTGTTACAAAAGTATCATTGATCAGTGTGCAATATATTTTTATGGTATCAATATATATATATATATATGCTTAAAACAAATATTATAGATTATTGCATTAGTACTTATTACTTGGTAGTATTTAATAAATATTTTATCATTTTCTAGAAAAAAATGGTTATCATAAAATGCATCCAGGTCAACCAATTTTAATGCGAGAATTCAGAAAACAACTACTAGGATTACCAAAATCACCTCTCACACACACCCAATTAACAGAAAAAACATGGTAAGTTTAAAAAGTAGGTGATTTATACATTAAAGAAACACTCAATTTATGAAAAAATATAATATTCCTAAATAGAATTATTAATATAATTGTTTTGGAAGGTATTATCTTAAGACTTGGCAAGTATAATGTAGTGTATTTTAGCAGGGCAGTCTTAGATATTTTGCAGATCAATTCATTATTAAAATTTACTGCCTTTTAAATTATATTGCTTTTTCATACAAATAAATTAAAATAAATCAAAATTCTTCATTAAGTATTTTTTTTTGCTTTACTATCAAACCCATTTTATAGCATCAATTTTATTAATTTTTTTCTATCAAACCATGTCTAATTGATATAGCTAATTCATTTAATTTAATCTTGAAAATGATAATTGTATTTTCATTATTTTTATTTGTTTGTACTACCCTTGCTCATTGTCTTTATTACAATGTTTCTTGAAGGTTTCTAAGATAGCAATTGCCAAATTAGATATTTAATATTTAACAAGAATATACATATGTATATAAAAACATAAATTTCATATTATGCACCTTATGTATCTATTGTTGAAATGTTGCTCCTAACTATCCACTTAAAATAGTAGACACTGTTATTATTAAAATTGAGTGTAATAATAAATAGTTCAGAGTATGAAAATATAATTAATGTTTTAACTGGAGTACTTTAGATTTATATTAGAAAAGTACCAATTAGTAAAATATAAAATATTAATGTTTTAAAGTGATCATTATTTGGTTAAAAATTAAATATTTAGAAAAACTGAAAAACACGTGTTCTTTATTAAAATTAATATTTTTATATAAGTTAATTTATTATTAAAGTATCAGCAGCGTATCAGAAAAAATAATTATTAATTACTGTTGTCTATTTGTAAAATGACAGGTGAAACAATAAAGTTAATGTTTCTAATGAAACAATAGCTTATTTATCAAATTCACAATTTTCTTGGCAAATATTTTTTTTATTTATTAATACAATACTAGTGCATTAATAAACTAACTACATTTTTAATATCAAATTTGTTTTTCATATGAAAAGATTTATCATTTAATCTAATTAATTAAACATCCATTACAGTGACCAACTCAATGACAAGGTTCTCAAAATAAACTAAATCTAGCAATGATTTTCTTTCTTATGCTTAAATTATACTTGATCATTGTATTTTGGATTTTATAAAAAAAAATATTTAGTACAATTTTTAATTAAAAGTACTTGTATTTATTATATAGAATTGAAAATCATTATTACTTAAATACGATCTAAAAAGTAGTTTTAAGATAAATATTAAAAGTAATATAAATATAATTAATTGTATGACTTAACACTAATTTTTAATATTTTCACAGGTTTCACTATTGTGCCAAAGTATGGGATTTAATAAAAAAAAGCCAATTCTTTAATGAGTATAACAGACTTCAAACATAATTTTTTACAGAATTTAATGTTTGTAACTAAAAGATTTATGAAATATAATTAATGACCAAAAATGTAATGTAAATATTTTGTTATACAATAAAGTATAATTGTAGTTAGTTACGAAAAATGTATTTAATTTAAACTTTTATAGATTTCAGCTTACGATTAAGCTCTTCAAATTTCAATACTTTTCTTATGAAGAAATCACCATAGCGATGAGCAACTTTAGTATCCGCAATATGTATCATATCACGATCAATATAAAAGTCCAACTAGAATATATAAAATTTCAAATTATTAAAAAAATATAAATTATAATCAAAAATAAAAACTATGATCTAACCTCAGATCCTGAATGAAAGTATCCATCTAATCCAGATGCACCTTTATTCCATACAACATTTTTCATTTTGTGTTTAAAACACAGTAAATGTTTAGTCAAGTTTTCTTTATCATCAGTAGCTTCATTACTTTCATGTTGGCCTTGTTGTCCTTGTGCCATAAATGTCACTAATTTATTAATTGGCAGAGTTGTGTATAATTTCAAATAACTGTAAAAGTATAAAGTATTTGAATTTTTAATAGTTTAATAATAGAAACAATAAGTAATACTCAGTTGATAAGAAGAAAAAAGCATAACATTTTTGATAACTTTTATACCTGCGAATTGTGGGCAACATTTTCTGTTGTTTAACTTCAGACATAAAAACAGAGGTTTGATATTTTACTGCTTCTTTAACTGAATCTTCAGCTGGATCCATTGACAAGAATTTAGGACAAGCTAGTTGGAAACAGTTTTCAAATTCTTGTAAATCACCATACTGCATTTTAAACATTCTATCAGTATAGTTCTTTTCGCGTAATACTTGCTGGATAGACTCATCAACACATTGTGGATGTAACACTAAACACATAGCTAACAATGTGTACATTTGATCAGTCTGTTTGTTAATCTGGAAAACACATAAAAAATAAACAATATAAACTACTTTAGTGTGTATATAACTAATATTACTTGATCATTCTGATATGTACGAGTTTGGAAAAGCTGTTTTGTTCTTTGAATATACAACAAAATTGAACTAAATGTTCGAATTGCATCAGAATAACGACGCATCATCATGTAAGCAAATCCAACATAGTAAGCTGTAGAAATGTGGCATGCTGGTACTGAACTATATGCGTTCTAAAAGTTATATCATTCATTAAATTAAATAAATCTTCAGATTAGTAAATATATAGTAGTATACCTTTTTATGCATATCAATATTTTCCAAAACCTTTATTGCTAAATAATAATCTCCAAAAAGACTATGTAAGCGCAATAGTCCAATCATTGAGTAATAGCCCAACATTTTATACAAAGAATGACGACCAAATTCTCCAGCTACAGAATCTGGGTCTCCCCCACTAGCAGAAACTTCCAGTTGTAGTTTGATATTGGATTTATTAATGAATGAATGTAATACATTTAAAACCAACAATACATTCCATACTTCATTATTAGAAGCAAGCATTTCAATTTCATCTTGTGATTTACGACTACGAGATCGAAATTGAGTAAAGGATTGGAACTGATAAACAAACTCATCAACAAGCTCCCATAACCACTGGTCAGGTAATTCTAATGGTACTGGAGTCTCACATGCTATAAATTATTATTATCAATTAACTTGTTTTATTTAATAGTTCAAACAAACAAAATTTGCTTACTAAAGATATAATTGAATAGATCACAATAATTGTAAAATGATCCAAAACGTTGTTTTGTTGAAGGTCCATTCTGTACACGAGCAAAAATATGTCGATAATACAGTTCTTTGTATAGCATCAAAAATGTCTGAAAATTAATTGAATTAAAGACAATAGATGTAATACTAATAATAATAAATTTTATAATACTTTATCATCATCCATAATGGTACGGACTTCTTTATCACTAGGCCATGGAGATTTGTCATAATATTGATCAGATAATTTTGGAAACCTTAATAAAAAAAGTTAAAAACTATAAAACTAAATACAAACAATATTTAAACAATAAACGTACGTATTTTCATATAAATTTTGCATCTCATACACCATTCCTTCATTAATGGCGTTCCTGAAGTAAAGTAAAAATTTCTTGATAATCTCATGCATTTTGGGTTCGTACAGATCAGCATCACTATATCTGTCATCGTTATAATTATTGTAGTAGGTATCACCATCATATTCCGTCTACAAATATTAACAATAAAATAATTTTAAAAAAACGACATAATTTCAGTTAACAAAGGTTTTTATAATTTGTACCTGATCGTATTCCATTGTTACTTTGAATGTTACTAAGATTAACGATACAGGAATATAAGACTAAGTCTTTGAGAAAATAATCACAACAGATCAAGAACAATTCCGCAAGATATAATATTTTTTAGAATTATTAGAAATTAGAATAAGTTCTGAAAACTATAAGCGAAAAATTGTTAAATGACAACATAACACCAAATATACTTAACCTAGAAAAAATCGTCACGAATGCTTATGATGGTGGTGTGATGTAAGCTACCATGGTTGAAAATCATTGTATTGTTGGTTGTGTGACTGTTACCATTGTTGATGTGTGATAAAAACACAAGCAAAGCAAATGAAATGTCGGCTCTTGGCGTGTCGCTACTCGCTTTATAATACTACCGACTACTTTGGATGTCTGGATGCTAAGTTTTTTGACAAGCGACTACCAAGGTATTATTAAGTTGCCCGGATCCAATCTTGTATTATAGTAAGTGAATTCAAATAAATATATTTTAATGACTACTTAATTATGATATGCTAAGCAATTTTTTTTTGTTGTTTAACTTATTAAAAAAAAATTAGTTGTACAACAATACTATTAAAGTAACAGTTCCATTTTCTAATAGTTCTGATAACTTTTCGATAATGCAGTTACTAATAAAATAAATCTATTTTCTCGTATTCCAATAGTCTAAGAAAATTTATAGAATATACTTTTTTTAACATTTTCTTAAATGTCTGTTTTAATGATTTATTAATAAATAATAATTATGGCAAAAGAAATATTTTATTATGTTACTTATTAGTTATTAAGATCAATTTTTGTGTTTTACATACTTATAAAATGTATAAACATCTATAATATATAATAGCTATTTGAAAACATATTGGCACAATATATAATCTTATAAACTATAATCTATTGTAGTTTCTAGTATGGGTTTATTCTTCAATACATAATATGAATCATTATTTTGTCAGAATTACTTGGTAATCAGTTTTATGCCACAAATACTGAATAAATTGCTTTTAAAAGCTTTCAACTTGAAAAATATTGTATCAATTAATTGTTTTTTAATGACCAAATTATAGAGCTATTTTATAATTATTTGGAACTATGGCGCTTCCTTCAACATACAAACAAATAGCTATTAATCAACAGTCTCCTGCTCGTAAGTGTTAAACTATTATATATAAATTTTACTTAAATATATTATAAGTTGTTCTATATTTTGTTATTTAGTGAAAACTTTTACATTTTATTGTTATTTTCTTAGGCATTTTTGTTGAGTTTTTTTATAAATGTAGACTGATAGATGTTTGATTATAAAATTAATATTGTTTTATTATCAGAATTTATAATTATTCAAACATTTTGTTTACAGCGTATAAAAATCTATTTACTTATCTGAAAAAAATAAATATATTTAAAACACTTAAAATGCTAATATCTCTACTATACTCTATTCATCGAGAGAATGCTACAGAATGGCAACCATAATTTGTTATGGTCTGTGCATCACCCTCCACCAGTCTAATCGCTGCTTAGTGGGGAAAATTCTGTTATTTAGATGCTTGATTAAATTGTTTTCTCTCAGCGGATGGAGTATTTATTTATGTTTTTGTTTATTGTACCTACAATTGACTTAATTTTAAATTGTAACCTGTGTCTTGTATTTCATTATATAAATTTAAAACGCAGAATAAATTTCTAAACTTTATATTTTTATTTTTAACTACTTAACGTATAAAGCTTATATGAACAAATAATTAGAACAACTTCCCTGGTCACCTATTTCTACAATTCTATTATTGAATATTTTGTTGGATTTTAAATTTGTAAAAAATTGTACTGCTTTATATTATGAAATTCTTCATTATAGTTTCTATTTAAAAAATATAATTTAAACTCAGTTTATTTTGTCAATAAATATAAGGATAATATTAAATATTTAATAGCTTGTACCTCAAATTTTCTACAAAAAAAAAAAAGTAAATGCATGTCAAAATATTGTGATTGCTTTTAAAAAGAATCGGCCTGTATTTATTTTATTTTATATTTATGAATACTTGATCAAATATTTTACTGAGCATGATTAAAATATAAAAAAATTGCTTTATAGAGATTTAGCCACTCAGTGTTAAAAGTTATTAAATTTATGAAAACCATAGTTTTGATTTCCTTAGTTAGTAAAATAATTTACAGTTAGAAACTATATATTATTTAACTTTTTGCTATAACTTATTCAGAAATTTTGATAGAGGGTTTAATTTAAAATTTAAATTTGTGTTTAATGAGAGAATTATAACACATCAAAGTATTCAATTATTAATTTCTATGCTTAAATGTTCGATAAAAATGAATAAATATTCCAATGATCAATACTCAATTTTACCAATCTAACTGTAAAACTGTTTTTAATATCAGCCATGATAGTGTAAACTCAAAATATACTTTTTTATTTTTTAAGGATAATATTATTAAAATTATAAAAAATGTTCATGAAATAATCTAATTGATGTCATTAACGTCTTTCCTGATACTCATTTAAATTGATAGTCTTTTATATTATTATACATTTGTTTTCATGAAAATCTCATATCATAAATAAAATATTATGATTTATAATTTATTATTGATAGATTCTATGATTGAGTCTGCAATTTTGCATGCATTATAGTCTTATTATACTTTTAGTTAGTTTTTTTTTTGATTTTTTGGATTTGAGCTTGTAAAATGTGTGCCCACAGGTGCTCCAGTCACATTCAACATTTTAAAAGGTAAATTGTATTTGTTAAATTATTTTTTAAAGCCATATGAAGTTTGAGATGCACTAATTTTTGCACACATGCCAAAAAACACAAAATTTACAAAAATATTTTCCACTATTATTTTTGGTATTTAAAAAGTATCTGCAATTAATTTAAATCTTCAATGTTTAAGATATGTTGACAAATGTGTTCAAGGTTTTATAATCATAATATTAATTAGTTAAATCTATATATAAATTCATTTTATTTCTATAGTAAAATTAAATTATTCATTTATTTAACATGCTATAATGTATTTTAACATTTATAAATACCTTAATATAAAAAAAAAAAAATTCAAATATAATTAACTTATCAAAAAATATATATTAATCTTATTAAATAATATATATATATATATTTTTATTTTATTTTTTATCTATTTTGTGTTTTAAAAAAAAAAACTCTTGTATAACTTTTATTTTATCAATGCATATCTATTGCTAATATATTTCAATATTTTTTTTTTTTTTTTGTGGCAAAAAATATGGTGGTGGATATAAATCAGTGCACGATTAAAAAAGTTCAATTGTTACAGGACTATTTGGCTTTAATTTTAATTATTTTAATAAATATGTTTCTAAGGGTTAATACTTTTTATTGCATAAAATAATTAAAATCTAAACTCTAAATGTTCTTCTATTCTTTTCTTTTTTTTGTTTTTTACATTTTTATTTAGTTCTTCTTTGTAATTAATGTGAGCAAAAATAATGTTTTCAAATGAACTATTAGTGAGGATATTTTACCTCAAAACAAATAATACAATGTGTGAATAGTTTCCTAATTTTTTCAGCGACTAAAACGGGATCCTATCAAAATGGTTAGTAAGTCTTATTTACTTATTTAATTTATTCTGTTACTAATATGCATGATGTTTCCTAGATACTTAAATAAAAAAGTAGGTTAATAATTATACAAACTCTTATGTTGTTTTAAATTGGTTAGAAACAAGTGATATTAAAAAATATATAAATTAATCAAATTCCTATATATATATATAAATATATTTATTTATTTTTTAGTAGAATTGTTAATTTACTAATACTTATTGTAAAATTTTAAATATTTTTGAATTATCACTTGTTAATTATTGTGCTTTATATAATAAGTAATTTATTAGACTTGAGTTAAAAGCATGTTTTTTTTATTACTTAATGTTATTAGCATGAAATAGCATGCATAACTGTTAATTGTAGTAATACAAATTAATAAAAATATTTTTATTTAAACACCTTACATCAACTTTATATCTTCTTGGACATAAGTTTTATTTTTAAACATAATTTGTAACATATAGCAAAAGTTTTTCACGAACTATAGTTAAATTAATTTGATTTAATGATATTATTTATTAACCATTGTTTTTATATACATTTTAGAAATTAAAAAAAAATTTTTATATTTTAATAATTAAAATATAACTTTTTTTTAAAGTACATTTCTCAACTAAAAATAGTTTGAATTAAATTTATATATTATGTGAAAATTATATCATGATAAAAATTAGTATATTTTTCCTAATGGTGTAAATATAATATTATATACATAATGATAATTTTTTTCTTGCACAAATTCTGATGTTTGTCAACAAATTGTTAATATAACTTTGTGTTAGTAAATTACTTATGAATAACAATTTATTGTTTATCAAAGAAAAAGATAACCAAAAAAAATAATCAAGTTTTAATTAATAAATGGATTATATAACATATATTACAGAACGTTTAAGACCTGGTGGAAGTTCCAGCCAATTATCTGGATCTGTAAGTATTTAATTTATATAGCATATTTTTATACAATAAAGCACATTTTTTGCAAAATTTAGTGATATAGTCCTCTGTGTTTATTTTAAAACTATTATCTCATACATTTTTTTACAATTAATTAGAAATACTGCTTACGATAAAAATACATGCAAACTTGTAATGGTTAAAAAAAAAAATACATATATAATTTTATATTTATTTAATAAATTTATATTTGTCAGTTAATATTATTTAAAATTACTTAAAAGATAATATAATAACCTGAGCATAGATAAAATAAACATTTTTTTTAAATTGTATTATCTTTAATAGTTATTCAGCAGTATTATAAAATTTTAAAAGTTTTCAAATGATGTTAATATGAATTTTTTAACTTATTTTACATGATACTTAAATAAACAAGTTTTTTTAAGTATTTTGAATATTTTTTCTAACTAATCATTATATAATAAATTAATCATTTATAGAAAGATCAAAATCAAAGTCCGTTCATTCCAAATAGCCATGGAAATCCAGCGTTTCATCCACAAAAAATATCAAAAGCTGCTGTAAGCAATATTCTTAATTTCTCATCAAATTTGTATTCATTAATTAATCTATCACATATATAATTAAGGCTGATGCTCGTGGTATTAAACCTCCTAAACCACCTGAAAAACCTCTTATGCCATACATGCGATATAGTCGGAAAGTTTGGGATCAGGTAAAAGCAAGTAATCCTGATTTGAAGTTATGGGAAATTGGTAAAATTATTGGACAAATGTGGAGAGATCTTCCAGATGATAATAAACAAGAATACATTGATGATTATGAATCAGAAAAGGTACTAAATGATTGTTAAGATCACAACTTTTAATTTTGATGACTAATGATATTTATGTATTTAAGCTAACGTATGAAAAAGCTATGAAGTTATATCATACTTCACCAGCTTATTTAGCCTACTTACAAGCAAAGAATAAAGGTAAATTGAATCAAGTAGAAGATAGAGAACCACATGAAAGATCAACTGGAGGTGGTAAACAAGCTGCTGCTGATCGAAGAATTGAAATACAACCAGCTGAAGATGAAGAAGGTACACTTAAATAATATCAATTAATAATATAAATTAAATAAAAATATAATATTGTTAAATATTTACTTATACATTTTATTTTTATGTTATAGATCAAGATGATGGATTTAGTGTGAAGCACATAGCTTATGCTAGATATATAAGAAATCATAGATTGATTAATGAAATATTTTCTGATAGTGTTGTCCCTGATGTACGATCAGTGGTCACAACTGCTCGTATGCAAGTTTTAAAGAGACAAGTTCAAAGTTTAACCATGCATCAGGTACATACATTATAAATTATTAATGAATTATACACATTTTTAATTACTTATAATTTTAGAAAAAATTAGAAGCAGAATTACAACAAATTGAAGAAAAATTTGATACTAAAAAAAGAAAATTTATTGAATGCAGCGATACATTCCAACAAGAATTGAAAAAAGTATTATTAATATATTTATAATTTAATATTTATGTATCATTATTTAATATACAAATTGATAAATGATATTGACGTTTAGTATTGTATATGATTAAAAAATCATAAATACACTCCTGTTAATACTATTTAGTCCTAATTTTAAATTTATTGTTTATTTATTTTTTAAGCACTGTGTTCAAGCAGTATCTGAGGAAGTATTTCAAAAAATGGTAGAACGCCAGGTTGAGATATTGCAAAAAGAACGAACTAAGACTGTGTGCCCACCAGGACCTCCTGAAGAATTTGCTAAGGTACATTGTGAACAGCAATTAGAACAAAATGGAGCTGTACCATCAATTGAAGATGACACTCCATCTTGTGTAGTTCCTTCTAGTACCACCGATGAGAGTTCAAATATGGAAGTTGAGGTAAAATATAGAAATAATAGTATATTAATTATTCTAGTTTATAATACATCTAGCTGAAGCCTTTTTTAGTATCATAAGTAAATATTATGTTTTAAATTTAAATTAAAAATCAAGACATTATAATTATAAGATTTGTTTCAATATTAATTTTTTACTTTTATAATGTATAAAATTACCTTTTTAAATTCAAATTTTATTATTTATCACAACTATATAATAATAACTGAATATGACTGAATCTTAATATTTTACTGTCTAGTTTTATACTAAATATGAGTTTAAATTTTTAACAGCTATACCTTTTAGCTTAAAGATAAGTTTATTACCATCATTAATAGATACACATATTAAGTCTTCTGTTGAAGAGTCATGGATTGAAGCTTCTTTTACTATAATATGTTTTATCTTATTTCTCTCAATGTTATAAGAATTAGATGGTTATTACAATGATTTTATGTGTAAATCATTATTTAATTATTTTAAGATTTTTAAATAGCAAATTCTTCTATACCTATTACATTACATCATAGTTGATTATATTGATCAAAAGCTTTTAACAATATTTAAAATAATAAAAATTAAAAAAAAAAAAAAAAAAAGTTTTTCTGATACAAGCTTAGTTAATGTGTATAAGTTATTAATTATTTTAAAATTATTTTTCATTTTTAGTCTGGTATAACTTCAGACAGTTCATCAAAATCTGAACAGCTTGTAATAACAGAAACTAGAGAAAATGGAGAAATTGCTACTTCTCCACCTCAATCTTCTCATCAACCACAACCTCAATTATTAAAAGAACAACAGTTATCACAGATTCAGTCACAACAACCTCCTCAGTTTCAAGCTCAATCACAGTTTCAACAGCAATTATCACAAACACAACCTTTGCAGCCTCAGCCTTCTCAACAACCACCTCAACAACAACTTTTACAGCCACAGCCTTCATTACAACAATTGCCTCAAGCACAACCTTTATTACAGCAATTACCACAAGGGCAATCTTCATTACATCAATTACCACCATCACAACCTGAAATACAACAATTATTGCAGCCACAAAATTCTTTTCAGCAGATATCACAGCAACCAGCACCTACAGCATTACAACAGTCACCAGAACAGGTTTCTCCGCAGCCACAGCCTCAACAACATTCTCCTCAATCACAATTGCAGTCCCTGAATCATCATCAACAACAACCCTTACAGTCCTCAAATGTACTGCAGCAACAATCTTTGCAACCATCTACTCCACAACAACAGTCTTTACAACCATCTACTCCACAGCAGCAGCCCTTGCAACCATCTTCTCCACAGCAACAGCCATTGCAACCATCTACTCCACAGCAACAGCCATTGCAACCATCTACTCCACAGCAACAGCCATTGCAACCATCTACTCCACAGCAACAGCCATTGCAACCATCTACTCCACAGCAGCAGCCCTTACAATCATCTACTCCACAGCAGCAGTCCTTACAACCATCTCCTCCACAGCAGCAGCCTTTACAACCATCTATTCCACAGCAGCAGCCTTTACAACCATCTACTCCACAGCAACAGTCTTTACAACCATCTATTCCACAGCAGCAGCCATTACAGTCACATCCTCAACAACAACCTTTACAGCTACATCCTTCTCAACAACAGTCTTTACCGCCAAACCCTCCTCAACAACAATCTTTACAGCCACTTGCTCCACAAGAACAGCCGTTACAGCCACATACTCCTCAACAACCACCTCCACAGCCACATGTCCCTCAACAACAGCCTTTACAGCCTCATGCCCCTCAACAGCAGCCTTTACAACCTCATGCTCCACAACAACAGCCTTTACAATCACATGCCCCACAACAACAATCTTTACAGGCAAATCCTCCTCAACAACAACCTTTACAACTACATCCTCCACAGCAACAGCTTTTACAATCACATGCTCCACAACAGCCTTTACAACCACATCCCTCCCAACAACATTCTTTATTACCACATACTCCCCAACAACATTCTTTACAGACTCAACTTCAACAACAGTCTCCTGCACAACAATCATCAATTCAAATACCTCCACAACAACAATCTCCACAGCCTCAATTACAAACTCCACAGGCACAACAACTACCTTCCTCGCAGATACAACAATTGCAGCCACAATCACTTCCAACACAGCCTCAATTGCAACCACCACAGCCTCAAACTCCTCAACAACCACAATCTCAAACTCAACAACCTCAATCTCAAAGTCAACCACAACCGCCTTCAGTCATGGTACCACCACCACCTTCTATTCCACCAGCATTGGGATCGGATTCACCTTCAAATGTTGTTTCTTCAACTACAGAATCGCCACCAAAATTACCAGAACCTAAAGCTTATTCTGCTCCTTCAACTCAGCCATATCCAACATTATCACAGTCTTACACTCAAGTACCTCCATTTCAAATGTCTCAGAACTCTCAAGTTAATGTTTCAAGTGTATATCCACCCAATCAAGCTCCCACAAATACTGCTCCTCCACAACATCCACATTCAGGTATGATGCAGCCTCCACAAATTCCCCCTTCTCAAGGAGCGCCATCGTCAACCCCATCAACCGGATTTCCCTCATATCCACAACAGCAACCTTATTCATCTCAGGGAATGCCACCCAGGCCTTACTCATATCCTCCACAACCATATCCTCAGTATACGCCCCATCCATACTATCATCAAGCTCCTTATCAACAGTATCCACCACCACCTCCACGTGTTGCATATCCTCAACAAATAGGTACTGTTAATCAAGATACAAATCAACCACCACTTGAAAGTATGTATAACACGGCTTCAATTTCTGGACCATCTGAAAAAACAAATGATGAAAATAAGCAATTAAATGATGAAGTGAAATCTACTGAACTAAACACAGGTATTTTTATTTATTTATTATATTTAAAATGTTTTAACATGTTACACATTCATAGTTGTTTGAAAGATAAAGTGTGTTTTATGGAGTGGGATTTTGTTTAATATGAAATTTAGGACAATTAAAAGAAGGTTAAGAATGGATTTTAATTTGTCAATGAATTATTTAATGATATGTAATGGTTGATCAGGTAGTGCTATACCATTATTTATATGTTAGAAAAAGATAATTATTTTTAATATCTTTTCAGTTTTTAGATTTAATGCGACTTAATATACTTTTGAATGTTTTACATTCTCTATAGTTGGCTGTGTGAATTCCATTAAAGTTTGTTAGTCTCTCCCATTTATTAAAGTAGTTGCTAGTGGTATATTTTAATCTACATTTCATTCAATGCACATAATGGTGACAATAGTCTTTTGTGAATCCAAACTTTTAACAGTAGACATATTGGTGAGGACTAAGTTTTTAAATGTTACTGTTGTTTCAGTATTAAAAAGATGTTAGCAGTGTTTTTTTTTTTTTTTTAAGTGATAATTGATTAAAATACTATATCTAACTATAAATTGTGCAAAAACAAATTTCATCTTTTTAAATTTTTTGATACTTTTAATACTGATGCGTAACTTGAAAAGTAGGTAAAATTATTATCGATATATAAAATGTAAATTGCATGGAATCAAATTATCTGTATGATTGTTAAAAATATTTATCATTCTACAATCAATTCAGTGTATCCCACAGTTTAAATATTAGTTAAAAACCAAGTAAAAACCAGTTACAAATAGAACATAATTTTTTAGTTGATAGTGAACTATAAGATAATATGATTACTGTTTATTGTTTAACGTTAAGATGAAAACTTAAACAGTGTAAATAATTAGTCTTGATTGATTAAATTTATTTTTCCTTTGATTTAAAGTATAAACAGTGCTTACTTGTACGCTATGCCCCTGAATTGTTTTAAACATTTGTCTAGTGTTTAAAACAGGTAGTTTATCATAATGCTCTATCACAAAATTGTTGTAAAATAATAAATTAACTGGTTTAAAAATTATTTATCAAATTTTTTTAAATTTTTTAATGTAGGTATTAAGATAATAGTGCGTTGTTGGTAACTATTCAATTAATTTTCTGTTCATATTTTAAACTTGATAAAAAAAATTGTTTGCTATTTTCGTATTAAAGCATTTTAATAAATAGTTGAATTTATTTATTATTACTATGATTATAATTATTTAAAATATATGAACTACAATAGTAATCTATAAACATGATATAGCTATAGTGATTATTAATTGAAAAGTAATATAATAGTATGGTATTATTAAAATTTATTTCATATTACATTATTATTGCATATTTAAAACATAAGTTATATCAATAATGATGTGCAAGATAATTAAACTATTGATATATTTTCTAAGAGAAACTATAACTGTCTTAATAATGATTTATGGCTAACTACTTATCCACTATATTTTTTATGTAGTGTCCTTATACCAATTTAGGCTATAAGTTTTCTCCCTCCAGTAATTTTTGTATAAATAATATACTTATATATTTATTTATTTGTATGTTAATAGCTCATGAAAAACAACCTGAACAAGAAGAAACAGTTCCACCTCAATCATCAGCAAAACTCGATGAAGTTCAACAATAACATATTTATAAATGCTAAAAAAATTTGAAATGTTTTCATAATCAATATTTGCTCTTATACAAAGTCAAAAATTGACTGATATTGTTTATACTTTTATTGAAAATATTTTCATATTAAAATTATTATTAAGTTCATTTATTTACTAATATTATTTTTAGAATTAGAATATATTGGTCATGGTGTAAATAAAAAAAATTTCTAAAATTAAAGTTTTCTGACGACTTCACATCATATTTGTTACATTTTTATTATTTCACTTTTTGTATATTCAAACGTATTAAAAAAAAAAAAAAAAACTATGTATACCAATGTTTTTAATTATTAGTTTTTTGGCAAGAATACAAATATGTAGAAATTAAAAGCATTTACATTAATGTAGTACAAAAATAAAATTTATTATTTATATAATAGTTACTTAAGTATATAAATTAACATATAATAGCCATGTTAAACAATTTTTGCTACAATATTTTAAAGTATTTAATATACATGGTAAATGCCTAAGTGTAAATCACCAATTTTAAAATTTGGTTTAAGCTCTTAATGTGATGTCTTATTTAAAAATGTATGTATTAAATTAACAAACAAAAGTACAACTTGAATAAGAGATTACAAAAATAAAAATAATAAATACACTGATTTTTATTTATTTATTTCAGTCCCTTTAATTACAATATTTTTGTTATGTATTTTTAATATAATTATACTTAATTAATATTGATTATTGTACACTTGCATAGCATATAAAAAATATAACTTATAAAGTGTAACCTAATTATGTATACATTATATATTATATTTATCAAAATATTGTATGAAGAAAGATATAACAAATGTGTCCTCAATAGCTAAAAATACAATTAAACCTTTAAAAAAAGAAACTTTTATACATTAATCATGCATACAATATTTTGTTTTAAGATAACTATTAATTCAATTTCCAAGTTCAGATTCTTTTTTCACTTATATTAAAATTAATAATAAGTTAATAACCTATAAAATACTTATAACTTAAATAATTATAATAAAGTATTTAAATGAGTTATACATGCCAAATAATTTATAAAAAATTATATAATACAGTTAGAAACATTACAATTGCTATATTTTAGTCAAAGATTTTTTTTTAATATAATAAAATATATATTTATGTATATTTGTAATTTAAATTTACAAATAATTACATTATGAATTGGTTAAATTATATACATTTTGAAAAAATATAATTTATCTTGTCATATCAAATGTAGTTCTTAATTATAATTATTTTTGGTTTATATTAGTACTAAATAGAAACCAACAATTGTCATATTATGAGCAATTAAGTTACATTGGAATGATTCTGTACTATATTAATCATGTGCTTATCAAATATCTTAAAATATATAGGACTAGCTCAAAACTTTAGAACAATAAAATAAATAGAAAATAATATACTTCATTTGAGACATTTAAATCTGAGCATAAATTTTGCTAAATTAATAAGCTGTGTTAAAAATAATAGGTATAAATCAAGATTCATTGTCCATAAACTATAGAGTTACGTTTACTAGACATCCAACGCATAAATATACAAAATATAAGAATCATTGCGATAGTCAACATTAACAGAAGACTAGCAATAATTGACAACTCAAGAAAACCTAAACTTGAATGTGGAGGTGTACCAATTCCTACCAAAAAGGTCCTGAAATTAATAATTTGCTGTTAATAAATATTCAGTAAAACAAATAAAAATAAAATCATAAATCTTACCAATAAGTGTAATTAGATTTAGCATAAAATTCATCATTGGGTTGTCCAAAAGACACATTAAATGACTTTAAAAGAAATTGAGAGTTGTGGACAAATAATGAATTTCCATACATATTATATAAAGGGGTGTTAATCCAATCATGTTCAGAAAGATAATCTTGAATGTCATACTGAATTGTGGAAGAAGAATTCAATGCATGAGTATTTTCTGCTTTATACACAACTGGTTTCCAACTTAGAAAACCACCTCCTTCTTCATCTCCTTTTGCATTCAACAAATAATTCTAAAATATTCACAAAATGTTAGCACATTATTAAGAAGAAGTAAACTATTAGTCTGTTAATCTTGGTCTTACAAAGATAATTTTAGATAACAATTTATATTTGATGTAATATTATAAAATTATTCCTAATAATTAGTTTTCTATTATTAAATTTAAAAATAAGAACTATTTATTTAATTTCTCAAAAAAAATTGTCTTTAATATTTGTATTACAACTAACCACATAATATATTATAAATACAAATTGATTAGAACTTTTACCATTTATACTTAATAAAATATGTTGAATATGAAATTATACAAGTACTTAAATAAATCAATGGTACATTTTTGATGAACAATAAATATAAATTAAATAAAGTTACTTAATGTTTTTTTTTTTTATTTTGCTCATTATACATAACTAATATTAGTTAAACTGCAATTAACAAACAAGTACAATCATAACAAATTTATTTTAAAGAATATTTATAAAAATCTACATATATATGTGGAATATAAAAAAGAGATATCTCAACATATAATTGTAAATAATAATAAATAAATATTATTATTATTTTTTTTTTTTTAATTGAAGTTCACTGATTAAGACAAAAACATATGTTTTGATAACAAATAAAAATTGTAACCACCGTGAAATTTGATGAAGTATAATAATGAGAATCTTTTTCAAGGTCCTGTTACTGAACAGTCCCCCTCTGTACATGTTTTATGTTACAAACTCTTTTGTCATCCATACAACTTATTGTTATTGTAAAACAAGTTGTAAACATAAAATAAGAAATGATATGCTACATAAATTTATTAACTGCTAGTTTTGGTATGTTCGAGCACCATATAGGTGCTAAACATAAATTTGTATTAAAAATTTACAGCTGATTTTATGGTAGTAGATATTATTACTTATCATTAAGACTTTAAGTGCTTTAATCAAAAAAGTAATTAATAAAAAAAAATTCATAATTATTATACTAAGCATAAATAACACATGAGCCATTTGTTTTTCACTCTGTATATATGAATATGGAACATAGAAGTATAAAAAATTTATGACTCAGGCACTTGATTAATCATAATGACTGTTGAAGGTGTTACGCAATTGTAAAGCAAATGAGGCAATATATAATGACATAAATAATAAATTAGACACTACATTAATGATACTTAATACATTTTACTAACAATTAAGAAGTTATGTTTAAGATTATTGAGACAAATCATTAATGATTACATTAAGACTAAATTTAAAAATGAAAAATATTTAATTATTATTTTTAACATGTTTTGGAAATTTTTTACTCTTTATAATCAAATATAAATGGAAAAATAACAGCATGACCAATAAGTTTAAATAATTACTATGTCGTTATTACTTAATGTATATCACATAAAACAATAATAATTAATTAATATTTAATAAGTAATAAAATAATAGTAAAATATATCATCATAATTATTTTAACCTTTTATTTAATTAGCTGTAATTTTTCTATACATATTTAATAACAAAGGGTACACATTTTCCAAAATATGTCTTTACTTTTGTTTTCAAACTTTTTGGTAATTATTAATTATTCAAATTATTCATTGTATATTTAATTTATTTTTTTTTATATACAAAATTTTAGTTTTATAGATTTTAATAAAAATAAAAAAAATAGCAAATACATTGAAAATTGTTATTATTTTGTCAAATTAAATAAAAATGTACTAAATATGTCATAAACAATTATTACAGCAAACAAAATCATACAAATTCAATATATACTTCAATCCATAATAAGGCAAGATAACCATACAACAGCCATAAAAATCTAAATTTTCTCATAGTTTATAAATTGATAAGTTTTTAGGTTGGAAATTATAAAATCCTATTTAAAAATAGTTCTGTAATAAATTGTAACTAAAAATATAATTTGGCAATATAAGCTCAATACGACAAAGCAAGTCGTAATAATTGTTTACTACTTGTTAATTTTCTGTTTACATTTTAAAAATTATTATTGTTCCATTAGTAGAAAAGTAGTAAGTATATAGCTTGAATAATAAATTGTACATAGTAATAAATAAATAGGTATATTTTAATAACTTACTAAAAACGTGCCACCAGATAGTTTATCATCTGAAAACGTGTTGCTTGATATTGCTTCAGACTTATTGAATGGATAAGAACTAAAAGTAAGTAACTCAATAGCAAAACGTGAATTGGTAAAATTTGTATTCAAATTATTAAGTGTTAGTGTTAGTTCACCAGATTCTGGAGTATGAACAAGATGTGGCAATTTAGATCCAGTATCTTTTTTCCCGTATACTTTTAACTATAAATAAATAAAATAATTATATTTTAATACCTATATTTACCATATATATAACTTATTAAGTAGATAGATTATAATATTTAAAATATTAAGGAACAAAAATGCAATGAATCAAATTTAAAAATGGCAGAACTTAAATACAAAAAATATTATTAACTTGAAATTACTCAGTAGTTACAAAACAGTGCTAATTGTGCCTGTCTTATTCATTAACTTATTTATTAAATATTTAAAAAATGTAACTGTACAGTAACAATTATCATAATAAATAATACATTTTATATAATTTGTAATAACACATTCATTGCAAATGATACTAAATGTCACCATTTAACATTGTTTGCATATTATGATAAATAATGCCAATTGGTAAGAGGTATGTTATAAAACGCACTAATTATGGTCAGTGATAAATTAAACTAATTATTTTTTTTTTTTTTATTGGTATTTTAATATATATTTTTAAGACTCCAAAGTTTTTTAGTACCACAACATGTAAACATAAATATAATCCATATTGAACGTATTAAAAGAAAGTTTAACTATATTAGATTCAGTGTTATAATTAAAAATTGAATTATTTATTTTCAATACGTGTTGAAATAATAAATTATGTTAGTTTTAACTAGTAACACATTAATTTTTTTTTTTTTTTAATAATAATTATTTAGTAATAAAACCCGATTACATTTGTATTTATGATTGGTATATTAAAATTAAAAACATTTCGACATTTTATTCCATTAAATTTTAAAATTAATAAATAGCCAATCGACAATTATTTTACTATTCATAAATTTTTATTATCTATAAATGAGCTCAAGGCTAACTTCATGATATCTTACCGTAACAGATACAATACCAGTTTTGTTAATACCAGGTGCTCTATATGAATTAGCAGATAGAAGAATCTCTACAGATTCATTATTATTGTGAATTGATCGAGTTGTATTCCAATTAAACTTCTTAAAATCCATTTTTATAAAATTGTTGCTATCTTTCATATTTGCTGTATCATTTACATCATTAAACTCGTATAACTAAAATTAAAATAATATAGTTAAAAAATATATATAAATATTCATAATTTATACAATAAAAACAATATAAATATTACGAGTAAAATAAGTAATTGACCTTGCCCAAGTATAATAAGTTTAAAATGATTTTTAAAGTTATGTTAATAGATTAAAAACTCTCATCAATTAAGATCCTCTGTCTATGTATCTCTTTCTCATATGTATTACTTATGTTAGATTTGTATAAATTTTAAACATTGTTTAATAGCTAGAGACATGCATATATAGCTATTATGTAGTGCAATGCTTACAGTACCTCACTAAAACTTAATTATCTCAATTAATTTAATCAAATCTAATAATTCATAAACATAAGCAACAAATAAAATCAAGAACATTTATAATAAGGTAGGAACATTTTAAATATTTTAAAATTAAAAATTAAATCGATAAATTACTGGTTTCTATAAATATTTAATAAAATAAAGACTAATAAGGTAATTACTAATAATTACTTTTAAACAATAACAAAAGATGTACTCAATTCAATTATTAAATATACAAAACAATGATTATTGACAAAAATATAAATATTAAGAATGATAGAAAAAGTCGGCATAAAGTACTTAAAGCAAAAATATTGTTATATATACATAGTACTTTCTTATATATTATAAATTATAATATACTTACCATATAAGACAGTATGAAAAATATTATTTTAATTTTAGTATCGAAGTATCTATACACAGGTTTTAATTGATTTGTAAAAATATTCATATTAATAATCATGTAGTATAATAATGAATATTAAGGCAAACTCAGTCAAAATTATTTTTCATAATACTATAATGCATTGTACAATAATTATTAATACCTAGATGTAGTTTTAAAAATACAAATTTACTGTTAATCATCATGGTTAGAATATAGACTTACATTATTAAAAACTGATGCAAATGTATACAATGGGGACTCAGTAAATTTAATATTGTTTTCCCGATCTGCAGTATAATTTACTTGAATAACAGCATTTTTGCTTGTTACAATAACGACCAACGATGGTTTTGTTGTAGCGTCAAGTACAAAATGAACAGTATCATTTTCACCATCGGCCCGTATGTATGTAAGTTTAGAAAATTTAGAGCAATGATCCTCTAACAAACAACCTGGATTGAATTCAGTGTGTAACTATTCAATCAAAAAAATGTTAATCATTAGTCGCAATTATGACAAGATCCATAAATAACGGATGGTTATTAAATTACCTTTCTATCAGCAGCCACAGATGTAGTAAATACCGTCAAAACGAACACAATGCTTTTAAGCGCTTTCATTTTTTTTGCATTCACGCAGTGCACTTCAGTAAATAAAATAGATCAAACACACTTACACGATTTCTGAGCAAATGTTTACAAATTTGAAATTGTGATTTCAACTGTGTGACTTGTTTGGTAAGAAACAAATGAAAACAATAAATAAAAAAAAAGCGATAATTCGACCTATTGGCTATTGTACCTATTGTTCTATTAATAATTGTATTATGTTTACTCATTCAATTGGAATTGTAACCGTCATTGGACAGCCGAATACCGATAATGAAAGATGTATTCGGGCATCTCGAGTTCGAACAAAAGTGTTACAGTTAATGCATGACCGCCAGCTGCAGGCTTTAACTATAAACATACAGATACAATATTATTATTATTGTTATCATCAAATATAACGATTTATTAACATGTATAAAATGTAAAATACTCTCATTCCCCCTCCGATGACAGACCATTTGGACAAAATTATTATTTTACACGTGGCCTCACTGTCTAATGTCTTTTGTTGTTATTTTGCTTTCTTATCAAACGACATTGATAATCCCCGGTAATTCCGTAATTTCAAATTTTGAAAAACGTGATTATTAATCCATAATATATTAATGTCCATATCACTAGTCACTAGATAGAAAATACAAAACAGTAAAAACAAATCCTGTTGTTGAATAGCTGTTGGCAATTGGCAGTTGCTAGATAGGACTTTTTAGGAGTTAGGAGTTGGGAATAGTGAATTAAGTTAAAGAACTCCGTGAACTATTATATTATCGCTGGACACTGCTTTTTATTTGTTTATATATATATATATATATATTTAACAGTAAACATTTAACACCCGTAGGCTGTATTGCAATTATTGTCCATATTTGTTTCCGATTATTTCGAATGCTTTAAATCTGGATGAATATAACACAATGTTAGCCGCCACCAATCCACAAGTAAGTAATTTTTGACTATTAACATACCTCAGAAAATAATAATAATTATTTTAGGTGTTTATACCTTTTGGGCGGCAACATATAAAAAATAGATTCATTGGTGAAGTGAATACTCCATCAGTTGGATATTATGATCGACCAGAACTTCATGCTGATGAATTTTTATCAAAAACAATAAATGATCTATCTTTGAATCCATCAAATAATACACATGTACGTATTTTTATTATTGTATAGTTAATATTTAAGAAGCTAGATTCAATAGTAAAATATTTGTAATGGCAGTAGCAGTATAAAAACTTTTAAGGATACAATACTTACATAATTATAAATAAACCATGATAAACTATTAGTAACTATGAAAAATCTTCAACCATCCATACACTGATATCAAAAAGTGATTTACTATAATATAACTTTATGTGTTACTATCTGGTTGAATTTTATATATTTAAATTATATTATAATTGTTAATATAATTACTTCATATATATGATGATGTAGCTAAATATAAAAATATTTTTAAAGAAAACAATGCATTTATATATTTAAATTAATTATGTTTTATTGTCAATCATAATTAATGTAAATCAGACAGCTGCGCAATTCCCCTATGGAAAATTGTATATGGATCTCCATTACATGTCTGATTTATTTAACATAAAAGTGTAAATCTGAAGTTGATAATTTAGTCATCGTTGGCAAACATTTTTCAAGTATATTTCAGTTCATGGACAAATTAATTTAAATTAACACTTCAAAATCAATTTAAAATAATAAAATATGTTATGTGTGTGTATGTTTTATCCAATAGGTAATAATAATTAAGATACTATTGTAAAAATTTGTATTAACATATTTTTATATATAAGTATTCATAAAATAGTTAACTGAAACCACCGAGGCTATAATTATGGAATTTGATGATAAATTTATTTTTATGATGTAGACACTCATTAAGAAAGGATTTTCCCTAAATTGGGTTAAAAGCTAAAAAAAATGGAAAAACTATTTGTTGTTCAAATTTTTTTTTAATTTAACATAAATACTTTAATTCAAAAAATATATTATCTTTTACTTTAAAAATATGTGCAGCTGTAACAAACTGTGATTACTTATATATATTTATATATATTATAAGTATATATGTGTATGATAACTATAAATAAACATGAGGATTTATCATATACATAACTTAATTAATAACCATAAGACGCATTTTAAAGTATGAAGAGATTATAGACAAACAAATTTTTTTAATATATTGATTACATTTTACAATGTTGATTGATACTGGCTAGAATAGTGTATTTTTGACGCTAGTTTTATATCAGGATGAATATATAGGACATTCGGCGTACACATCCTGCTAAGATAAATATACGTATTAGAGGTTGACCAATCGTAGACCATATATATGGATATTTACGATAACTTTAATAAGAATGAGCACTCTAGCCTACAAGTACTAATTCCAGACTGACTAAATTTTGTCAAATGTGGTATCATAGAACTTGAAGCAACATCCCTATATGTTATCACATTATTGTATTCATATTATTACTTTTATTTGGACTTAGTATAATTTCAACAAACATAGACACTTAGAAAATATTCACTTAAAATGTACTCAAATTATTCAAATTTCATCTTTTGGGGCCTGTATTACATTGAAGTTAGTAATACAGTTTAAAGAGGGGTAAATCCATGAGATTTTAATTTGTCATAGACAACACTGTTCAAGATCAATTAGTATTATATAAATTCAATAATAAAATAAAATAATTACAAAAAAAATCCCATCCAAAAAATTATATTTTAATTATTACAAGTATGTAAAGAGAAAAAAAATAACAATATACCTAAAAAAATATTTATAATAATAAATCTATCGTGCTAAGATATATATAACGGTAAGATAACAACAGTCAGGAAATCAATAAGCAAGAGAAACATGTAGTTGTCAAAGATGACAGACAGTGTTCTATTATTTTTGCAGGGATAATTCAAATTTTAGTTGTTGTCTTTATTCACTAATTATCCCTCATATTTTAGTGTTGAATTAAAAAAGAACTAAAAACTAGTCGCCTTAGTTTAATTTAATATTATTGCTAATAATAATATAGACTCAAAAATAGTACTATCATGATTTACTAATTTATTTTAATGATTGTTTTTAGTTTTTTACTATAAACTTAATGTTTTATTATTTTAGACACAAGAAAACTTTATTTTGAGAGAAAAAGATGGAGCTGAAGAAGAATTATATGTTTCTGGTAAAATAGTTGTGCATAGTCGAGGAAACACTTGTAAATCTGCAGCTGATAAAGAAGACTATACTCCAAGCTCCAGAACATTAGTCTGTACTTATACAATGGAAACTAATGTTTCTCATGCTTTATGGAGTAAATTCAATATTTCACCAGAAGTCAATGAAAGTGAAATAAAGCTAGAAGGTATATTTTCTTACTCATAAAAACAATGAAATAGTTAAGGTTATTATTGTTAGTTTACTACAATGATGATAATCAAATAATAGTAAAATCATCGATTAAAAATCAAATACACGCATATATGATAGGAGGTTAACTTTAAAAGTATATATTATATAGATTACTAATTATTATTTTAGCTTTATACTTATAATGTTCTACTATATTCCTTATAACCTAAATTTTTATTTTACAGAAAAAATAGTTCCATGCATATGTATAGTTGATGCAAAAAAAATAAGTTTATATTCTGAAGGAGGAGATGTTTGGCATACACCGTTATATTTTAAGGTATACTATTAAAATGATATCACAAATTAAAACCAATTTGTATATGCTTGTAATTTTATATTACATGCTAAGAAAACACAAGATATATTTTATGAAGATTTAATCAAGAATACAAATTGTTTAAGATCACATTTTACAATTAAAGATCTAATTTATTTATTTATTTATTTATTTTTTTTTTTTTTTTTTGTGGCGTATAAACTATTTTGTAACTAAAATAAAAATGTTTGATTACAAAGAAATAAAAAGAAAGATTTTTATATTAAATGCTAAATATGAAAGAATTAAAACTGATAAATTCAAAATCTATACTCTGTGTCTTTCCACACAATATCAAGACAAATCCAGCTATGACATGGTGACATGGTGTTATGTAGAAATGTATAACAGAACCGTTTTTTGTCGAACCATGGTAGTGTGTTCACTCGCTTAATAGTGTACCTACTTAATTATTTTTTCTATCATATTTAATTATCAATTATTAGTAGAGCAAGAATTTTCATGCACAAAAAATCATCAAATATGCATTTAAAAAATATGTACTTAAGCATCAAAAAATTTAAAATATACAGTTAAATATGCCCTCAAATAATTAATACACTAAGATTTATATCTTTAAAAATTATATTTTTTCCTTACCTATTTAATTTTATATTATCTCTATAAGTTTTAACTGAATTTGATATCACTTTGTTGTAATCTAATTTACAAATTCATAACTGTGGTAAAATGAGTCTTATTCGTCTTTATGAAAATATAGAAACAGTTAAATATAATCCAATAAATATTAAAATTTAAATTATTTTTTCAGGTAACATCTGTTTGGAATACTAGTTTTGGCATATTAATTGAAAGAGATTTAGGTCAAGTGCCTATTGATATGACAGGAAAATCTTTACCATTACCAACCATATACTCATTGAGTCAACCGTTAAAAGAAGTTTTGCCTTTATTCTTATTAAAACAAGGTATTTAATTATTTTAGGTTCATATTAATCAATTATTAATTCTACCTTATATCATAAAAATATTTATATATTTTATGTTATAAGTAAATTAATATAAGTATTAATTATGTATTACACAGAATAGACAATTTAATTTAACCAGTTAAATTTTATAGGAAGTGTATTACAGTATGCCAGAGATTGTTTAACTACTATAGTTTTCACCAGTATTGATTTTAATATATGTTTGATGTATGACATTTTAAATGGTCTACATAGTGTATGGAAGATCAGGAAGCCTACAACTGAAGTAAACTATAATATTTTATAAAGATACATTTTTATTTTTTTATTCTTGATATATAGGAATGCAATATTATGTGTGGTCAAGATTCAATTTATTCTACAACAACAAATCCATCATATATTCCTAGCAATAGTAATCAAATTAATGCTATGTCAAGCTCATTAGTAGCTGGTTCAGGGTTTTTAACTGACAGGCAAGTACTGGGTAAATCTTTTAATTTTAAACAATAAGCACTCATTATTTTTTTTTTTTTAATATTTTTTACGAAATATAATTTTCACAAATGTTTTTGTGATCTTAAATTATATAGAAAAAATATAACTATTTTCAAAAACATTTATAAATATATTAATTTTTG